GGAATGTTTTTGAGCAAACGCTTCAATGTATATGATTGTTGAAAATCGGTTGTGTNCCCTTCCAAGCGTGTGTGGTCGAGGCGATCAAATCCAGGAGTTGTATCTTTCGACACGTGCATGGAGAGTAGGTGGGGAAGGGGTGTCTATGAACATGAACATGTGAACACCCATCCGAGTAGGCTGATGTTGCCGAGCACCCACCGGCCAGCGGCCGAGCCAAGTGTTCCTGAAGAACGCCTGCGGTGTTCCTTGGGACCACTCGACTTAGCTGCTGGCCGGCGGGTGATTGGCACCACCAGCCCACTTCGGACAAGCTCCGGGTGGAGCTGGACCGCAGAGGGATCCAGCACCGGGTGAAGCCTGTGCTGAGGTTATTTTGGGAGAAATGCTGCATTTTGAAACACCGCTACTTCCTTCCAGGACCCGAAACAACCACCCAGTTTTGGAAGGCTTTTCATTCTAATTCTGTTTCTAGCGTAGTGGGTGGAACCTCAGCCTCACAACGCCTTTTTGCCTATCCTCCATTATGCTCCCTGTACATGTTGTGCAGAGACCTTTCTATTTCTCTTCATATAAAGCGGTAAGTTTGTGTGTCTGTTTGTATGTCGGTTTGTGCGTATGTCCGCGGAAAGTCACCTAGGTACGATGAACATTATGAATATCGTTTGGGGGCATGTGGACATGGGTGTGGGTCTTGACATAGAGAGTCTATTGATACTGTATTGATTTCACTACTATTACGGACCACTTAGTGATGTCTTGCACGCGTAAGCCCGATTGGTATTATTTGGAAACCACTTTGCCGAAAAGTAAAATAGAAATTTCTCGAATAAAATGAAATTTAAAATAATTAGCGCACATTTCGAGACTGCTCATTCGAGACTTCATTTTTTCGCCAAGAGGTTTGCATGGAGCACGAAACCTCCAAGAAGCAATCATTTGATTGCACAGATTTTATGTTAACGTCCTAAGAACTCATGTTGTATGGGTTCATGTACCTCTATTTGTTGAAATCTGGTGTTATGATGGCTTTCTTGTTATGGCCTTTGTAAAATATAACAGCTTGTGTCATACAAGACAATTTTGAAAATTTATTTCACTCAACGAACGAAAGTCTCAAGGAAATTGCTGCATTGACGGGCGCTGTGTGCATGGGTATAGGGAATCAATGGTCAATGAATTTTTTAAGCGAACTTCTTGTGACTGTCCGTGACGCCATTTAAAACAGACAAATGTGGAAGAACTCATACATGGTTCGATACATCTAGAGGATACGTTCTCAGTGAATTCCGAGAGACCACGTATTTTGGAAAATTTCACGCACTGGACCATTACCAAGAACTCAAAAGTGACCATATCTCGGTTTCTAGGTAAGACAGGCGTTTGTAGTTTTTGCATTCGATTCAGAAACGTCTGGAGAACATGTCTTCAGTCAATTCTGAGCTAGCAATTTTTCCGGAAACTCGTGGAGAGGACCGTTATCGAAATTTTGAAACAAAGAAGCTGCTGCATCTCTGTTTCTAGGCAATACAGACTTCCGCTTTGTTGCTTTTGATTTAGCGTCTCGGAATACTTCTATAGAACATGTTTTCAGTCAGCCCTGATGGATCAAGTTTTTCGGAAAATTTCGTGGGTAGGACCGTTATCGAAATTCTGAAACATGAAATCGGTTTGTTGCATCTCAGAATACGTCTGGAGAATATGTTCTCAGTGAGTTTTTGAAGACCATATTTACTTTTCCCCGTAGTTTCATGTTAAAACGGCTGTGTCAAGAGAACAGGAACTATTGATTTCCAGCACACAACACACATGCACAACCAACACATTAAGTGCGCGCCCTGCCCGCCATGAGCGATGACTTACTCAAGTCCTCTGTTCGAGCAACATGATTCACTCTCTCTTATTTCAACTTTACTGTGTGTTTGCACTCAAGTTGCGCTCATTTCACCCGTGGCCCGCTCCCACCATAACCCACTTGCGCGGATCCAGTTCTCTCACATTTTACTACCTACCACCGGTGTCCTGATCCTGCCGCCTCGTGTCAAGTTTGAACTCCCTGCGTCCAAATTAGTAATTTCTTTGCTCGCCCCCCCTCCCCCCATCAGCATTCCCACCTTACCGCCTGCAACCTTACCAAATTTGAACCCCCTAGGTTCAAATTAACAAATCTCACTAACACCATGCCTTTTGTGAGCGTAGTTCAGTCCTTTCGCCTAACATCAGGGCTCCCCCGATGCCGTCTGCATTCGTGCAATATTTGAACGTTAACGGTCTACGGGAACAGGAGTTATGAATTTTGCTCAGACATTTATTTCGCGCAAACCTCGCCCCATGAGGGCGGAGTCCAGCCCTATCCATCCATTCTGCCGTTTGGTAGGTTACCTTTATATTTCGGGATTAGAGAACAAAAATGAAAATTAATAATTGAAAATCGCGTTTTTCAAAAACTTCACGATAGAGCTGTCAGTTGCCAGATTGTAACGCTGGGGTTGCCCAATAACAAAATATAAAAGGCATCCCTCGTATCATCTGTATCACCTGTCGTCTCGTTGATCATCGATTCTCCTCGGACGGGCCCCATTATATTCTCCTTTCGTCCCTGTCACGAGCCAGAGGGGGCCAGTGAATCGTCCTCGCTTCAAAGACACGAGACCCAGCACCCCTTCCGTTCAAAGCTTTCGTGAAGTCTGAACATTGCTGTGGCAGCCGTTCGCTTGACATACCGAGGGATCCAGTCAATAACCGCCCCGGTCCAACGGTCATCACTATATCGCATGACGTGACCGGCCCACCTGGTCTTCGATTTCCTGCCGTAATCAACGGCATCCCTGATCTTCGTTCGNTTCGTTCGATGACGAGCTCGGAACTCTGGAATCCCTTCTGCACTTGCGAGTATAGAAAAATTCCACGCATCGCCCTTTCCGCGCTTGAGTAACGCTGACAGCATGCTCATCCTGCTTTCGTAGGGTTCAAGTCTTCGTTACGTCAATGCAGGAAAGACAGCATAGTCGAAAAGGTGAGAGTGTTAGTCTTTTTCACTACTCCCACTATACTTGAATGCTTCCCCCGCGGTGCGTTTCCTTCTGCTCTACTCCAAAGCTGGGTCGTTCATTATGTCGACTTCCTGACCTAAATACACATTGTTAGAATCAGGGTATCCGTTCCGTTTTGCGTGAATGGAGCACCAGGTTTCTTAAGAACATCTTCTAGTTAGGTTCATTCCCGAGCCCATCTTTCCACGATTACTGTTAATGGCCAGCATTCATTCCACCTGCTCGATGGTCGATGCTATGAGCACGTTGTTTGCAAAGCGGACTATGCCAAATGACGCCTAATGCTCTCCAGAGCGGCGCTGAAATGTGTGTGTGAAATGGCATCGCCCTGTTAAACACCGCTCTTCACGTTGATAATGACTTCCTTGTAGAAGACGAAATTCTGGTCTGCCGGCTGTACACTCAACAAATTCGAATGGCCCACGTCCAAATTGCCAGTTTCCACGCATGTCACACCCACTATGGGCTAGTGTACTCCTGCCAACCACCTATCGTCAATGCTCTCACAATGTCGCCTGTACTCCTGCGAGATTTTAATGTTCTAATCGTAAGTCCCCTAAAACAGGAGCAATGAATTTTCGCTCAACATGTATTTCGAGCTAATCCTGCCCCCTGTGGGCGGAGTCTAGTCTTGCTACCTGCCATAAGTGTTCCCATCGTGCCACCTGTACTCATACAAAACTTGAATGCTATAGGTAGAGTGGGACAGGAGTCATGAGTTTCCGGTCAGACAAACACACATATCTAATAGACACACTTAGCGTATTATTTAAGTACGATAGGCAAATGCAGAGGCCACTGAATATTTGTTGAATACGATGCAACCCTGGAACGAACTAGTTGCTATTTATTTTGCAAAAAAGTTGTTAAATTGTGCTGGTCTATTTCTAACATTGAAGTTCCGCAGTCGGTATGTCATTTAAGTGAGTGAAAACGGTGATTGAGTATTAGTAAAGTGGGAACAAGCAAATGGCCAGCAAAGAATCAATAAAACGGAACTGGTCATGAAGTTGAAAGGGAATTTGAAATAGAGAAACGAATCAGAATACAAAGTCGCGAAAACAAAAGAACTCTAGGAAAATCAGAGCGCTAGGGGTGCTGTTTGTCCAAGGTGGTGTTGATAACGGTAGAAGAAAACAGTTCAAATCACTGAGAGTGCATTGCAAAAAAGCTATCCGCTGAGCTGTGGGTGAAAACGGCTAATGGGTGGGCAGACCTACGAAGACGTCACGAGTGCTGAAAATTGCAGATCCGCAAAAAAAAAAAACGCAACCCATCTCGATGTTCATACGGGCTGTTATCACTCGGCATTGTGCTTCATTAATGTTTCGTTTTTTAATGGGTGGCGGTAANTATTCTCATATCCCCAGGGCAATTTTGGCAAAAAAGGGCTTTGCCTTATGGCGAGCACAAAGTGTTAAGTAGATTAGGCTGAGGATATGCTAAAAACAGTAGGAAGGAGATAGTAGTGTCCCCGGCTGCAGATGTTCATTCCGAGTGTAGCTCCTCGCCTTTGATTACACCCATCTGTGACATTCCACGGATAAAAATGCAGAATACATTTCACGACCCATCGGTTGAACCTTATTCGCGCCTGTAAACAGCCTAGCCATGAATTTCTTTTGCCATGACACCTCTGGTAAGATAGGATTGCATACTTTGTTTCAAAGGTTGATCTTAATCCCTTTTTAATAATATGCTCACGAGTCGGAGATTAATATCAAGAACATATGCGCAATAAAGAAAAATCCCACACCAGCTTAGTTAACCTCATTAGACCACATAGCTTCAGGCAAGCACAGGTGAATTCAAAAGAAGGAAAGGCTACCATAGCGGTACGACTTCATTCATTATCAGAATAAGCGTGAGCAAGATAATATTATCAGCGAGCGCTTCCTCAAAACCCCACAAAAATTTTTTTCAACGATTGAAGGATGAAGAGTGCTTTCAGCTGAGTAGTCGAGCCAGAGTCTTGAATTTCTGTTCGAGCACTTCAACACGAGTTTCCAGACGCATGTGGTCCATCTTCAACTGCCGATTGTCTTTGCGTAGCTGAGCGTTTTGTTGCTGTAACTGCTCCAATTCCCATTTCAACTCGTCTCTAGCCTAGAAGATATGCACAACAGAATTGGCATCCAAGTTAGCAGGTAAACTTATCTTGACACGAACCTTGGTCGTATCCTTTTCAAGTTTTGTCACTGTGCTTTCCACAAGGAATGAGTCGAGTCGTAGAATTCGCTGAGCAGCCTTCAATCGCAGTCCTTCACCAAGCCTGAAAGGTCCTGAAAGTTGCAATCGCCAAAGCGTCCAGAAAATGCGCAACATCTGGGCATTAGTAAAGCACGGCGAAGGAGAGCTTTCAGAGTACAACGATTCACCGACTCATAGACGGCGTTGCTGGCTACCTGTTGACAACACTGGATCGATGGATGCCGCTCAAGCGGTCCCCAAACGCAATCTGTCCTGCGTTGTTAACACGTGACCAGAAACGCCGTCGGTCGTCGGTCGATGAATCGTTGAACTTGAAAGCATCCATAGATGCTGAGCGCGAACGTCGCTGGTCACCCGTTGATAACACTGAATAGGGTCTGTTGACAACAATGTCTGCACCGCCGCTGACGGTATTTGCATCGGAGCACGTTATTTTCCATGCAGAGCTGCCCACAGCCTCAGCAATGTACTCTAAAAGCGTCCGCTGGCTCTTTCTAATGAGCCCAGTTAAGATCGTGTCTGTCATTGCGTAAAATGGTTTCAAAACTTCTTTTTTGGATCTTTTCAGAATCTCTAGAGAGCTCCTTCCCCGTTAATCAATTAAGGAATCGTGTGAAACAATATAGCCATGCAAGATCATCACAAGTGCAGACGTAGTCTCAGGCTTAATGAATCAATCAAGGAAGGGATTTTAGCCTAAACACGGAGACATTGACATGGCCTAATTCGCCGTTATCACAGTAGCGTGAGTTGAAGGTAAGAGATACTTAACTCACCACTAGCTGCGCCGATATGATCTTTCGACTTGTTCAACTTTACTCTTTGTCCATTTTCTTTACATTCTTATTTGCATGTTACTCTTTTGTGTACTGTGTAAAGTCTCAGAAAGCTGAGGATAATTGAGGGAAGCCGGCAGGCTGATCGGGCTAGTCTCCTCTCCCGTAAACCTGCGTCGAAGTTATAGAAGCTGAAATAGGCGAAGAGGGCGCGCATTTCAACGCGCAGTTGACCGCGAGCTAGCCCGAACGAGTTAAANTATTCATAACTATCAGGTAAAAATGCAAAACATGCAGACTCCATCACCAACAGTCCTTGAAAGACGGCCGTGCTATCCAAGAATGATCAAAAATTTGTGTGATGTATGAACAAACTTATGTAATAAGAAAAAACTATAAGTACCTCTCTTCCATTGTCCGTTCCAGGTGAGTACGATAGTGCAACGATGCTTTCTTTGCCATCAAAGCGACAGGTTCCCACTTGATTTTGGTCTTGAACAGCACATTTGTCAATCCGATTACTTATTAACCGGTTCTTGATTGCTATATATAAATTCTCATTCTTGAATTGATACTCTTACTAATATAACTCATTTTAGACCATCTCAACTTAAAAGCTCTTCTTCCACGTCAATTTGAAAGAATTCAGGAGACCTATTTCAAAACAAATAGAAATCCAGTATCCCAAATAATTTCAAATTGTTGTTTAAAAGTATTCTGAAAACGAAACGCGATTTCCGAATAACAGTAAAGACCTAGCAGTATTGTAAGAGAGTACCGCTGATTATCTAACACCTATCCAAAATACTGAAAACACCCACGTGTTCTCCGCCATATAGCATATACTCGATTTGATCTAGAATTGCATTCGTTTTGTCAAGAATCGCTCCGTAAGGGAAACAGCACACGCCTGAAAATTTAACACTGACAGACTTGGGACTTTTTTTTAATAAAGCTATCAAAGAAGAAGAGGAGATCCGACAAGGTCGAAGTAAGGGGAAATTGGTAGACAAAATCGAGGACTGTAACACCTTCGTCCAAAACCGCTCTCATTATATCCACAGGATTGAGAATGTGCACTTGAACACTGGTGAGAATGGTGGTCGGAAAGTGCAAACTTGGATCAGCCGGTAGTTTTCGTTGCAACATCATGAGCATCTTATCTGACCTGTAATTAGCAGATTTTGGCGATTACTGTTCCAAAGCATAAAAGACTAAACCTAACTGACCTTTCCAGAAGCCTGTAATAAGCCGCATTCAAAAGTTGTCCACAAATCTCATCCCAATGTGGATGAACACCTCTCAATCGTCCAAGCTGTAAACACCACACATTCAGTTTCTACGCCTTTGTCAGTGACTTCTTACAAGGAAGGTCTTTCAGGGCGTGGGAGGCTTTTTGAAAATGGTTTTTTGCATGGTGTAGGGGCATGAGTACTTAGTATATAACTATGGTCCATTTCCGCTAAATGGCCTTCTGAATGCCAAAAAAAGGAGTGAAAATGATTTTGCCGCACGCCGTCGACTGTCCGCACTATAGAAGGGGCCAGTGGAGGCGACATTGAAAATAACGTGAACTGCAGTCAAAAAAGGTACCCACATGTTGAAAAGTGCGGGGAAGTTTCATATAGGCTCTCCACGGTTAAACTGCCAGC